ATATATATATATATATATATATATATTATATATATATATATATATATATATATATATATATATAATATATTCACATATGCCCAGCTGTATCAATTCGACAACAACGTCCCCTCGTCGATTTCAGCGGTTCACCAACGTCTCCTCGCTATTTCAGCGATATACGGTTTGTTCTCGCTTTATTACCTTTTATTCTCGTGAACTGCGCGTTTTTCTCATCTTTCCATCCTACTGAAATTTTTTGTCTTTCAAAGAATCATTTCGTGCCTTCTGCATACCTTTTGATTGAATAAATGAAATATTCAATGATAAACTTGTATTGTTGAGAGATTCTCTAATAAGAGAGACTTCTGATAATTTTCGATAACATATGATAAATCTTAAGAGATTTTCATAGTTATATGTGATAATTTTTGAGAAGTAAATTTTAGATATAAATGCTAATACAAAGTCTTCGTGACGATGATGATTAATTATATGGATAATTTTAATAAACAATTTTGTAGAAAAAAAAATGAGTATAATGAATTTGACCAGTGCAACATTTGACAATTTCCGTCTTCCGCTAATTAAGAATTCCGAATATTCTAGCGGAAATGATACTATTTGTCGCATTGTAGATATAACAAAAATTGCTGATATGCTAACTGTGATACTTACATCGAGCATGTCTTTTATTTTTTTTCAGCGAACTTGGCTTTAGCATTATTATTGCAAAGATGACTTACAAAGGATCATCATTACCTTTCCATCCGGTCTAGTTTTAAGGCAAAATGGATTAGCGGAAGCAAAAATTGTCAAATATTGCACTGGTCAAATTTACTGTACTCATTTTTTTTTCTACAGAATTGTATATTAAAATTATTCATATAATTAATCATCATTATCATGAAGACTTCGTATTAGCATTTATATCTAAAATTAACCACTCAAAAATTATTACATATAACTACGAAAATCTCTTAAAATTTACCACATGTTATCAAAAATTATCAGAAATCTCTTGTTAGAGAATCTCTCAACAATACAAGTTTATCATTTGAATATTTCATTTATTCAATCAAAAGATATGCAGAAGGTCACGAAATGATTCTTTGAAATACAAAGGATTTCAATCCTTCAGTAGGATGGAAAGATGAGAGAGAAGCGCAGTTCACGAGAATAAAAGGTAATAAAGCGAGAACAAAACGTATACCGCTGAAATAGCAAGGAGACGTTGGTAAGTCGCTGAAATCGACGAGGGGACGTTGTTGTCGAATTGATACAGCTGGCACATGTGAATGTATATTATATAATATATATATAATATATATATATATATATATATATATATATAATGTATAATGTAGATAGATGTGTAGTAATATGTAGTTAATACATAATATGTATAGGTATATTGCGTAATGAAAAATGTTACAAAAACTGTGCATCCATTGTGTTTATGTGCGCCAACAAAGGCACCAATCCCTGTTATCTCAGAATTTCTGTTTATCTGTTTTCAATTTGAAAAAAAAATGAAAAAAATGAAAAAAAAAATGAAAAAAGATGAAAAAAAATGAAAAAAAAATAAAAAAATGAAAAAAAAAATAGAAAAAAAAAAATGAAATTGGAAGGATTCGGATTTCGCCGAAGTCAACATTGTTAATTGGATTCGATTTGGTGGCTTAATTTTAAGTGGTTGTCCGGATCGGGAAGAACGAGATAGTCTGGTTTGTCAAAGTCAAGATTAGATATCGTATGTTCTTGAAGGTCATCGTATTGATTAATAATTCTAGAACTAAAATAGCTTACATATTGCGGTTGCGATTAAACTCAGTAGTAGTAGTCTTCGGTATTTCTTACAAAGAAAATACACCGTGTGCGAATTTTCGGAAGAGGATTTGAGAAGCTTTGATGAATTTCTGTGTGGAAAGTATAAAATGAAAAATGGAGAATGAGAAAGAAAAAGGGAGGAAATTACGATTAAGAACCGGTACCCAAATACTCAGCTGTTATGAATGAGAAAATTGGAATTAAGCTTTGGAAATTAAGAAAAAGTCTCACAAAATTTTTAAATTTGAAAAGAAAAAGAAAGAGGGGAAAAAGTGGACACAGACTATGTTTTGGCTTAGACTTGGGCTTGGGGCTTTAGGCTCAGGTCTAGGCTTAGACTTAGACTAAGATTTAGGGTTTTAGGCTCAGGCTTGGGCCTAGGCTTGGGCTTAGGGTTTTAGGCTTAGGCTCAGACCTGGGCTTAGGGTTTTATGCCTAAGTTTAGGCTTAGGCTTAGGCCCAGGCTTCACACTTCAAAGTAATTTGGAAAAAAAATTGCAAAAAAACATGTTAGCGAACTTTTTTAATGCAATGATTGAGGATTGATGATTTGTTTAAAATATTTAAAATCTGAGCATATATCAATAATTCCAAAAAAAAAGCAGGCAAGGTGAAAAACAATCAAAACATCATTTCCTGTTTAATTAATATTGGTCCATGTTAGGTAATGGGGTTGAAAATAGAAAATTTTGATTGTATGGTATTATGTTTAGCAGCGTGAAAAGAAATTTTTTTAAAAGAAGGAAGAAAAGAAAGTTTTCTTTTTTCTGTTTAATGTTATTTCAAATTAGATAATTAAGATGAAAGGCGGAAAATTCGGCCAAATAATTAATAGAAAGTACAAAAATTAAAATTAATACAAAAATTAAAAAATTAAAATGCAAAAAAAATCGAAATACAAAACAAAAGTTGAATCATTTAATGGATGATTTTTTCTCCTTTGGTTAATTTAACTCACAATTTAAAAAATGTGTGCTAAAAATTAATGGGGCACAAAGAAAAAAAGAAGTAATTATTAGATATATTTAAAAATATTGGATATATTCAAAAACGATCAAAATTAGCTTGGGCATAGGCTTATGCCTAGGTTAAGGATTTTTCGAAAATTCTCATAAATCCACAAAGTTTCAATGAAATTTTTTTTGTGTATTCGCTAGTGCGCTATGTGGTCAGTGATTATTGATATCAAAAATCACTAATCACGTTGCGCGCTAGCGGATGAAACAAAAAATTTCCTTCAAATAATTTGGATTGATGTGAATTTTTTAAAAAACCTTAGTTTCTAGGCCAATTTCGTGAAAATTTAAGGTTTTTGACAATTTTGATCACTGTTTTTCGAATCTAATATTTTTATTTCTGTCAGTAATTGCTGATCACGTTACGCACTAGCTAACGCACAAAAAAAATTTCATTATAATATTGTGGATTAATGAAAATTTTTGAAAAATCCTTAAGCTTAAGCCCAAGCCTAAGCCTAGGTATTTCTTCGTATCTTACATACTTTGTGTGTGTATAGCACGTTATTGCCATGTAGTATCCAACGTGTGCAACGCAAAATTGCAATTGTTCAAATGTTAGTAAGAAAGAAATAAAATAAAAAGTTGTGCTAATAGTAGCGATTGATAAGTTATGAGTATATTGAAGCTATCCTCTTCGAAAAAACACGATCATTTGCAGCTATTTGAAGCAGAATGGAGGAACTTAAGTATTTAAGTTTAAAAATTAAAAAAAGGGTCATTTACGGGAAAAATTTTGTCACATTTTAAATCAATTGGATAAAAATGATTAATTTCGATTCAGGAATGTTGTTCACATAATTAACATATATCTGAACGCAAAAAATTATTGCAGTTAATAATTTCAAGAAAATAAACTACTCAAAGCATCACTTTGCATATTTTATCACTCAAATAACAACGATTCCTTGTTTATCGCTTCATTATAACCCTAAAGTGCATAAATCTGAATATCTTACAAAGGAAAAACGAATGTTACAAAATATTGATTAGGTCATCCAAATAAACACTAATGTGCTGACCATAGTACCCTACCTTAGCTGACCTTTAGTAAAGAACAACATTGGCTATTGTCATAAGTTATATCCTCTTGATTAGAGGAATAGCAAGTTATTATTGTGAAACAAAAAATATTTCATTGAAGAATCCAATAGAGTTTATATGCAAGTCGAAGGTCACCAATTTGAAAATGAACATTGAGCGATCATTTAGGACTGCATAAACAATTTAATGTACATGATGACGAATTTTAAATCATAGCTAATTTTGCTGATAATTACTGCTAAAATTGTTCTGGTGCTAACAATATCAATTATGCTAGCAGTATTAATAATGATAATTGTTATTATAATTTTTATCACTTTACATATTCTTGTTATTAGATTATTTCTA